TATGCCTAACTAGGATCTGCCACTGAGACTTCCTGATGTTCTTATCAGTACTTAAGTAACAAAAACCCCCCAACATCTAGTGTTGTCACCAGGCTTATGAAAACAGACTTCAATACAAAAATCACTACAAATAAGATCAATAACCACAATACTACTATCCCAAGACAAAAATAAACCCCCCTTAAGCCCCTGGGGTTCAACAGCCACCCACCTATCCTCTAATTTTAATTTATTACAGACAGTTTTGACAAAACATCTTTTTTTCTTAGTTTCAGAAAGGAGATGAATTGTGGGAGGTGAGATCTAAGGATCTCTTTGATTTGGGAAATTGTAGAGGGTCCTCCCAGACCTCTACAATTCCACACCGACACTTTCATTTGAAAACTTGGGACCAGTTATGGCTGGTTTCCTCCACCAATTTATTTTGAAGATCAACCTCTACCTCTGACTTACTATTTTTTGCTTTTTTTCTTTGATCATTTTCAGAAAAACAACTCACAATAGCATCATGAAGCAACCTTTTCTTGTTATCATTAAAAACAGTTAGTTGTTTATGCTCTGACTGCTCACTAACCTCTTTAGTAGACCCAACAGATTTCCTCCTATCTTCAATGACAGGTTTTTTCAAAGAAGTTTTTTTCTTACCACATATGGGAGATAAATCACTACTTAATCTAGAGGTGGACATTTGAACAGGGAAAGACACTAAATTATCCAAACACATAAGGTCAACATGTTTGGAAGGACTTGACTCATTACCTTTCTCTACTCCTACAGCCCCACCTAGATTGCTCCCCTTTTCTAACCCCACAGAGTCCACCAGATCGTGACCTAAGTCACCTGAAATGTCAGCTTGATTATCAACACTCTTTCCCCCCAGAGAGTTTTGTTGAGTCCCAGATTCTAACTTACTAGCCAAAGAAGGGTTAGTGTCACTCCTATCATTAGGGGTCTCAGAATCCTTGCCCATTCCTACCCTTACACTTTTATCCACCCCAAAATCTCCTCTCTCCCCAGGACTCCCACTCCTAATTCCCATAAAACTGTTCCCCGTGGCTCGCAACCAGTCTCCAAACTGCCTAGGGTTTAGCTTATTCTGAATGAGATCCTCCTTCTTGATGTCACAGCTTCGATCTGAATGGCCCACATGACCACAATAATAGCAGAAGGTCTGGAGATTCTCGTATTTGAAGTTGACCCATTTCACTTCACCGCCCAGCTTGATGTTAGTACCCCTGAGGATTTTATCTTTCAGGTTCACTTCCACTAAGAGTTTAATCATTCTTCCTCCTTGGCCTCCCATCTCTGGCACCACCACATCTAACACTTTATAAAAAAGCTTTCCAACCTTTAACCCAATTTCCATCGAGACCCAGTGAATCGGAAAGTCCCAAATCTGCACCCATAGGTTGACAACATCCTCATCATCTAGTGCCGCATCTGCCTGAGGCTTCCATTCCTTAAGGATCAGAATTGGCCGTCAAACGACCAGGCCTTCCCATGTAGGACTTTCCTCTTATCCTCTTCTGATTCAAATATGAACTGAAATTTATTGTTTCCCATAACTCTGGCACTTACAGGATGGTTTGTGTACCAGATTGATTGAATCATATTCTTTAGTCCAGCAAAATTTGCTCGTTTTTCACCATAAACCCGTCCAAATAAACTGAGAGTACATTATTGAATCCCAGTATCAATATCATTATCCGTGATTGAGATCCCTCCTTCCTCCCTTTCCGACAGTAAAAAATTTTTCAATCTATTTGTCAAATCGTTTGCCATCTGGAGAAGAGACCCAAACCCTTGCCAGCACTGCAAAGATAAGAAAGTTACAGCACCCACCTACGGAAATACAAACACAGAAAAAGTTAAATGGAAAAGAAAGAAATACAAACCCTAGCTACCCCAATTAGGCTAAAGCAGACACAACGCTAAAAAAGAAACACACACCCCTACTATTGGCTAAGGCCCACCATGGAGAGTGGGGTGAAATGGTTACAACATAGTCAACACAAGAGATAACAAGCAAGGGATGGAAAAGAAGATAGGGTAAACAAAAAAAGAAAAGCGACGAACAAGGGAAGAAGCTAAAAAAGCAATCAAAAGAGAGATAAAGCAGTGACAAACAAAAAAATCATAGAAGGCAAATCAAAGAAGAGAAAAGCAAAACGATAGAGCCAAAGAAACCCAAATCCCAGATCGGAAACTGCAAATCTCTAGAGAGAGAAAGATTTTTCCACTCAAGAGAAACTATATATTTTATATACACCATTGTTCGCTCTAGGTATTTTGATTATTAAATGCATATCATCTTATATTATTATGTATTTGGTCCTATGTGTATAGTACGAGGATTGACCAATGTACATAAAAAGAACAACAAATTAGAGAAAAATGTAATAGTTAATAAGGATATTATATTGAATAAACTGTAGCTTACCTATCTGATTCGTTATCTGACGTGAAGAGAAGAATGACACGCCAAAAATGAAAAATACAAAAAACAAAAAAAAAAAATACCATTGTACTAAAAGTCTGGCTAGGCGGCACCGATTTTCGTTCAGGCAGCTTTTTCAGGCGTCGCCTACGTTGTTCAGGCGGTTGCGAAGTTAATTCACGCCTAAACTGATTAAGCGGTCCAGGACCCGCCTAGACGCCCATATATATATATATATTAAAAGTATAATAAAAAGAAATTTTGTTTTCTATGAAATGTACAATAATGATAAAATAATAATAATATAATTATGCAAAATTAGTATAATAATTATAAATATATAGTAATTTTGAGAATATTTATAGTTAACCATACAAATTAGTATATTTATAAAATATAGTTGTATGTTATGCATGATTTTAAATTTAAATAAATAAGTAATTTTACCAACTCACCTATGCCCCGTTTAATCTACACTTAGGCGCTATGCCCCCACCCCATCTCTACCTATCGAGAATGCCTGGCGCTTTTTAGAACCATGAAAAATATTTCCCGCCTTATAAAAAAAAATTTGAGGCTATTAGAGGGTGATTGGATATACAATATTTTGGTTTTGATTTAATATATTGGATGAAATGAGTTATTTTGGATAAAATTGATTGATTAGATAATTGAGTGTGATTTTTAGTTTGTATTTAAATGATATTTAAAATATAATGATTAAATTTGATACAATGTAAAAGTAGAAGAGATGTGATTAGAAGTGATTGGTAGTAAAAAATGTGAGCGAATGAAAAGTGAATTAAAATTGATGTGATGTGGAAGGATGATTAATTATATATTATCATTTAATTATATTAATAATATAGAAGATAGCTAAGTTAAATTTTGAGTTAAAGAATGTAAAAAAAATTACCCGCTCAGTCAAAATCGGACAATTTCTATACCCAATCGCCCCTTAAAAACCTCATTGTAATATTAAAAAAAAAAATTGAAGAATCTGAATTCCCAACTTATTCGTGTACCTTAATCGAGAGTCAATGTCAACATTGTCACACCTAGTGCTGCATATGGACCGAACTGAACTGAGCTTGGGCTGTTCGAGCTCGTGTTCGTTTACGTTCGATTAGTTTTCGAGCAAAAAATCGTGTTCGAACTCGTTCATTTAATTGTTCGTCAAAGTTCGAGTTCATTCGTGGTCGAATAATTTAACACCTAAAATTTTTAAATATGCTTGATTAACTCGAAATTTGTTTGTTCGAACTCAAAAAAAAAAAAATATATTTTTATATTTTAGATTAAAAAATTCGTGGTCGAACAATTTAACACCTAAAATTTTTAAATATGCTTGATTAACTCGAAATTTGTTCGTTCGAACTCAAAAAAAAAAAATATATATTTTTATATTTTAGATTAAAAAATTATGAAAATATATAAAAAATAAAATAAAATAATATTAAATTAACGTTTACGAACATTATCAAACGTTTACGAACGAGCTCGTGTTCGTTTGATTATTAAACGAGTCTAATTTTCTGTTCGGACTCGGCTCGATTAACAAACGAACGAGCTTTTATCGAATACGAACGAGCTCGAACGAGCTTTTGTTCGCAAACGTTCGGTTCGTTCACAACCCTAATCACACCAACCATAGAACACGATAAAAAGCATTAGAATTTAAACTATGAATGTGTAAAAATGTAAAATAAGAATATCAATAAAATACTTTTTTTTGTTTTTATTGCAATTTTTTTATTTGTGATAAACATGTCCTCTCTTCTTCTCCATGTCAACTAATGGGCAGAATATGTAAGCTTCAAACATCTTATTTGTTGAATGCATGATTTATTTATAATTTGTTAATATCGAAAACTCATGTCTTTTATTGCTAAAATTGAAATGTTTGAGATTAAATTGCAAATGTTGATATTTATTTTACAATTTAGCCGAATAAATTTAAAACTCGGGTAATTTATATATTTATTAATAAAAAAATAATAAGTGGACAAAAAATAAAAAATAAAAGGGGAGAGTGGACCAACATAGAAAGCACATATTTCTTGAATACGTTTTCTGTATAATTTAATTAAAAAACGTATTCCATGAATACGTTTTTTACATTTTTTTTACAAAGAAAACCGTATTCACGGAATACGTTTTTCAAAAAAAAAAAATCAAAAACCGTATTCCTTGAATACGGGCTTTCTATTCTTTTCCACCCTTTTTTTCTTTTTTTTTTTTTTTTGTCCACCACTTTTATTTTTATTTTTTTCCCGTAAAAAAATCTTTAAACTCATCCACATATAAATTAAATTAGTCATAAGTGGTCTAGTGTAGACCGGCAATGTCTACGGAAGCAGACAATGGGACTGGGCTACAAATGGCTTGATTTCAAATGTTTAATTGGGCGTATAGGAATCTGGTTTGGGCCTTAATAAATCTTATCTTATTTGGAGTCCATTTTTATCACTTGCCTACATCACTTAACCAAGAAGGCAGTGTTGACATAGTAGTACTTTTCGAATGGAAGCTTAATACATAACAACACATCGTGACATTTCCCATTATAGAATCATGTTCTAATTTACATTTAGTTCAATAATGAATAATACGAGTTTATAATGTCATTAAAGATATAAACATGTCATCATTTAATAAAATGAAATAGAATTATAATATGACTTTAAAATAGAAAATATTTTCTCTACGTATAACACAATTAGTTTGGCTGATTGGTTTTGGTAAACGGGTCGAACTCAATCTCATTGTGTAGGTTTTTTTTCAAGGTATGAAATCGACTCGTTAAGACTCTGACTTTGCCTTATTAGTTTTGACAAATAAACTGAATTTAAATTTCATTTTCAACTAGTATAGTTAACAATTGGAAACACAACTTTTGTGTACACCCAAAATTTGTGCATTGCATCAAAGTAAATAAGTTTGAACAACAAATTTCAATCAATTTAACTATCAATTTTGAAAAAGTGTGGAGATGATAGTGTAGAAATCATCTCTTTTGAGTTGGTGCATAAAAAAAAAGTAGTGTGCGCATGTGGGCAATTATGGCCTTAATTTGACTAGAGAGATCCCAAGCGGGGCCCATTCGTGCAATCCATCCACTAACCTTTTTAATAGATATTGAATTGTTGATGCCCTTTGATGATGTGTGTATGTCACTTAAAAGTCTTGGTATTGGCCTTTTCTATGTGTGTTGGTCTCTACCAGACATATCTTACAGCTATCAACTCCATCATTTTCTCTAACTTATTAATATAAAAAATTATTTATAATTGTCAAAATAAGTAATTACCTCTGGGTCCCATTTGCCTGTGTGTGTTTGAACTTGATTTTTCAATATTCTTGGCAATAATTGGAGTTGTTCTTCATTTCTGTTTTTTCATTTACTCCTGTNATAAGGAAAATGGACTTTTCATCCTTTGGCTAATACAAAATTATGAACCTATACAATGTCACAAATTCTAAAATTGTGTTGTAGGCTGTTTCTGTCTTTTATTTTTTTTATTTAAATAACA